CAGGGGAGAATGGATCGATTCTTGGTATTTTGCATACATGATCAAAAACGTTAAAGATATTTGGGACACCAGTCGCTATGGCGGATCCATAAATGTAGCTATTTTTAGTGTCTTCTCGACCTTTCTGGATTACATCAACAGTAACTTCTCGTCCAATATATATATACACAGCTACAAACAAAATTAAGGCAAAGATAAGTTTTTTTTTATTGCCAAGAACCAGAGAATAAAACATTTTCGCAATTAATGTTTGTTTCGTTTTAACTTTTCTACATTTGCTTAACAGACTTCTCTTGAACTATTTTGTTTTCTTTTCATTTATTATTATTTTGATAAGTTACTAATACTCAGTATGTTATGTCGAAACTAGTTTCCAATAACACGAAATAATCAAGGTGTAAAGCAATTTACAGATAAGACATCCGATTATTGAAAAGAAAAATTGATTGTTTATTAAGTTTTAGGGCTCAGTGAATTAAATTGATTTGTTCTTTTTTTTTCTAGTTTTGTTTTTATTATGATCAATAACAAGTATTTTATTTTATTTTTCGGCGGTTTTTGTTCATTTTTGTGGATGTATTACGGAATTGCGTACTCCCTGGAAAATGTGTACTTGAAAAAGCTTCTATTTAGGGAATTCGTCAAAGATTCGAGTCAAATTAAGTTAAATGTAAACAATTCGGTAGTGATCAAACCTAATCATACTAGACGTTATTTTGTAAATAGTGCAAAGTGCAAGATGCCCTATTCGGATCCCTTCTCGCCCGAGACAATGCGGATCTATAAACCGGCGAAGCTAAAGGTCTGCACAAAGCAATCGGATCTTTTTTACTTAAGCTTTGACCGTAACACAACTCGATATTCTCTGCACGTCAATGAGACGATTTTGCTGCCTTTCGGAAACGGGATTAGGTGCAATTATAGCGGGATAAGCCAACGAAAGTATGCGAATAATCCATGACTTCTGTTGTTTAATTTCTCAATTCTAATATTTCCTCAAGGCTGCTTGCGACGGTTTTCTTTGAGAAGCAACACGAATTGCCCCAAAATATAAATGGAGTCATTGCCCAATGTCATGTTAAGCTAAACGCTTCAGTTATCCAAATCATTCAACAAGATGCATTTCCACTGCATCAGATAGCAAAACGCCGAAACGACAGCCCAGTGTCATAATTCTCGGTCTGGACAGCATGTCGCGCATGAATTTCGAACGGACAATGCCCTTGACGGCAAAGTTTGT